TTGGGAAAAACTAATCCCTCTCATTCTTAAACTATTCCAAAAAGTTCGAGAGGAGGGAAGAATCCCAAACTCATTTTATAAGGCCAGCATTATCTATTTCCAAAATCAGATAAAGACAATACAGAAAAAGAAAATTAGAGACCAATATCTCTGATGAACATAGGTGTTAAAATCTTCAACAAAAAATTAGCAAACCAAATACAGCAATACATCAAAGAGATCATACACCATGATCAAGTGGGATTTATTCCAGTTATGCAAGTTTGGTACAATATTCACAAATCAATGAATGTGATACCACTTTAAAAAATGAAGGATAAAACCAGGTGATTATATCAATCGATGCAGGAAAAGCATATGATAAAACCCAGCACCTATTTATGATAAAAACTCTCAGCAAGTTTGGAGCAGAGGAAACATACCTCAATATATCAAAGGCTTTATATGACAAGCCCACTGCCAGCATCATACTCAATGGGCAAAAACTGCAAGTGTTCCCCCTAAGAGGAGAAACAAGACAGGGATATCTGCTTTCACCACTCTTATTACACATAGTACTGTTAAGTCCTAGCCACAGCAGTCAGACAAAAAGAAGAAATAAAAGGCATCCAAATTGAAAAGGAAGAAGTCAAACTATCTTTATTTGCAGATGGCATGATACCATATAGAGAGAACCCTAAGAATTCCAACAAGAATCTACTAGAACTGATAAATGAATTCAGTAAAATAGCAGATACAGAATTAATATCCAGAGATCAGTTGCAGTAATGAACTACCAGAAGTGGAAATAAAGAAAAGAATCCCATTCACAATTGCTTCAAAAAGAAAAAAATACCTAGCAGTAAATTTAACCAACAATGTAAATGGCCTATACTAAGAAAATTATAAGATGCTGAAGATGGAAATTGGAGAAGATAAAAAGAAGTGGAAACATATACCATGTTCATGGACAAGAAGAATTAACATCACTAAAATGTCCATATTTCACAAATATTTATGTAGAACCACAAAAGGCTCTAAATAACAACAGTTATCCTGAGAAAGAACAAAAAAATTGAAGAAATTACGCTACCTAACTACACTGTAAGTCCATAGTAATCAAAACAGCATGGTACTGATATAAAAACAGACATATAGATCTGTGGAACAGAATAGAGAGCCCATGCTTTTATAGTCAATTAATATTTGACAAAAGAGGCAAAAGCATACAATGGGCAAAAATAGTTTATTCAGTAAATGGTGTTGGAAAAATAAGACAGATACATTCAGAAAATGAAACTAGACCACCTTGTTATACCACACACAAGAATAAATTCAAGACCCATGGACATGGACAACAGAGTGGGAATTGACTGTGGGAGTGGGGAGTGGGGGAAGGATGGCTGGAGGGGGGTAAAGGGGTAAAAATTGAGACAACTGTAATCGAATAAACATGATTTATAATTTAAAAAGAGTAAAAGTAAATCTTGGAAAAGAAGAATAAATTCAAAATGGTTTAAAGAATTAAATGTTAGAGTCAAAAACCCTAAAAATCCTAGCAAAAAAAAATGTCAGTAAAAGTTTGGACATTGCTTGTACCAATTAATTTTTTCTGCTATATCTCCACGGGCAATGGAAACAAAAGAAAAAACATACAAATGGGACATCAAATGCAAAAGTTTTTGCACAGCAAAGGAAACCATCAACAAAATGAAAAGACAACCCACTGAGTGGGAGAACATACTTGCAGATACATCTGTTGAGGGATTAATATCCAAAATTTATAAAGAACTTATAAAAATCAACACACACACACACACACACACACAAAACCCAGCAGAAGACCTGAATAGAGACATCACCAAAGAGGACATAGATGGCCAACAGACATATGAAAAGATGCTCAGCATCACTAATTATTAGAGAAATGCAAATTAAAACTGCAATAAGCTATCACCTCACACCTTGTCAGAATGGCTTTCATCAGTAAATCAATAAACAAGTGCTGGAGAGGATGTGGACGGAGAGGATGTGGACAGAAAGGAACCCTTTTGTACCGTTGTTGGGAGTGCAGATATTTGCAGCTACTGTGGAAATAGTATGAGATACCACAAAAATTAAAAATGGAACTGCATAATGACCCAGCAATTCCAGTCCTGGGAATTTATCTGAAGAATCCCAAAACACTAATTCAAAAGAGTACATGCATCACTTTGTCATTGCAGCGTTATTTATAATAACCCAGATTTGGAAGCAGCCCAAGTGTCCATCAGTAAGTGGGTAGATGAAACAGCTGTGGTACATTTACACAATAGGATACTACTTGGCAAAAAACACGCAAAATTTTACCCTTTGTGACAGCATAGATGGACCTGGAGAGAATTATAAAAGTGAAATAAGTCTGTCAGAGAAAGGCAAGTACCATATGCCTTCACTCATGTGGAATCTAAAGAACAAACTGAACTAACAAGCAAAAGAGAGACTCAAAGATAGAGAGCAGGTTGACAGTTATGGGGGAGGCGAAGTTGCGGGGAGAGGAAGGATTGGGCAAAAATAAAAAGGAACTCATGGACATGACAGGGTGGAGGTAGAGTAGGTTCTAGGAGGGATAAATAGTGATGGAAAAAAATACAATGAAACACGAACTAAAAAAAATACACTAAAAACCATGAAAAATATTTGAACCAGTTTAGAAACAAAGACACTATTTAAGATACTCATTCTTAAATGAGAATAATGGTACACCATAAAAAAAGATAAATATCTTTTATTTTTTTTAAAAAAAACTGCTGCATGTTTTAAAGGCAACTAAACTGGTATTATGGGTGTCTGATGACAGTACTTTTACACAAATGTACGTAATTACTAACGTTAACTAATATCCATTTTGAGTATATATATTATGTACAATGTACTTATTGTCTTTATATTACTCATGGTAATCTTACTAGGTATTATTGGTCTCATTTTATGCATGAAGAAATGGAGGCTCAGTGATGCTGAATTAATTGTCCAGAGAGAGACAACTGGCAAGTGTCAGAATTGGACTGCACACCCAGATGTATCTCAGTCAAAGGTTCCACATAGCCATTATAGTCAAATGCCTGTTTGCTCCCATGAACTCTACATTCCCGTTTGAGCTTCCTTAAGAGGACCCTTTAGGCTCATGAAGGACTGATGGACGTATTGGTGCTACCTGAATTTTTATGGAGGACTCGCAAAACATTGAGAATTCCTCCGCAGGTCGTGAGGGTCCCTGTTTGAGAGATGTGGGACCAGATCCTGGCGGCAGCCTGGAAGAGCACGGGAGTCACCGGCATCTGAGTGCTGCCCCGCCTCAGCTGCCTGCAGCTGGAGGACCCAGGGCGGTAGATAACCTCGTTCAGCCCCGGCTACTTACCTCCAAATGGGAAAATGACGTCAGTGCTCCTTGAGTTTTTTGCAAGGATTAGACAAGCCATGGAAATCACAGTTTGGGGGATACAATAAAGTAGTTCTTTAAAGACAATAATAGTGTTGTTATCATTAGACTGCAACAAAGTGTTTTAACTTGGGCTAATGTTCATATGTATGAAGTTATTAGAACAGTGCCTAGCACATTAAAGTGTAATATGTGTTTTCAAAATTGAAAAATATAATTTGCACCAATATTAAAGTTGGTAAAAATCAAAACTCATGCTGACTTTGAATGGTGGCCAAGGGAATCAGTTGACAGTTTTGTGATAGTAACTTAAAGAAAGGGGGATCTTAGAAGAGCATTATCCTTGTGAAATTTAAAAAATATATCTGATGAGTAATCATGCTGCAAAACAAATCAAAATCAACATCATGATGTAAGCAGGTTTCATACTACAGTAAATGTAGATATACTAAAAATGATATTATCTCTTATGCTCTGAACTTTGCATATGTTTCTAAATTAAAAATGTTTTCATGTTTATGACCAATATTAATTAAAATAACTCATTTTCATTAAATTTTTTTCTAAACATCTGTGTTTTTATATATAACACTTAATCCATTATTTGTGACCTTTTAGTTTTATGACAACAGATGGTCAAAATTGAAGCTTATATTAAATATCAAGCACACATAATGTGAATTGTGTAAACTGACTCCAGTTCCCTTCACCGTGGTAGAGTTTATGAGATTTATTTCAGCTCTGCTTCTTACTGTGTAACCTGAGCCTGGTTAGGCCAACTTCAAGCCCACATTGTTTTTCCTGTCTCATGACCATATTAAGTGAACAAATGTTACTGTTTACTATTATAATTATTTGGCTATTATCATGGTAAAACATTTGTTCTGTTTCATAATGGACTCACCCTACCCTCTTTCTAATCCAGGAGTGTAACTAAACAGGGGTGGGAGCTCATTTTGCAGTGAATGTTGGAGGCCATTATTCTCTTCCTCCCTATCTCCCCTTCACTCTCCATCCCTCATACACACAAGGTGAGAAAAACAATATTGTGGATGAGGAATGGATAACATGAGAACTAACTCCAGGGCCAAGGTGCCTTTGGGGGGATGAGGAAGACAGAATGTGGTCACAGTGGACAAGGATCCCTTCCTTTAGCAGTGAATTACTATAATGAGTTGACACTTCAACCCATGTTATCCATCTGGTCATTGGTAATTCTTGATCTGAGATCTCTGAATAGCCAAAAAGGAGATTCCTTAGACCTTGGTGGCTTTAGGATAGATCTCTCAGACATTCTCTTTGTTGGCTCACTTAGAGCTGGACAAAGGATAGGCACTGGAACCTGGGCCTCGTTCCTGGGCGTCTTAGGTCATGCTCCGCCAGAGTTGGTTATTTCCCGTCTCATCTCATTTGGCTGGTGACTCTGAGAGCACATGGATGAGCTACCAAAATGGTAAACTGCCAAAGCTTGCTTTTGGGATATCGACTGATATTAGAGGTTTACATGGGTTATATGATGAAGTCTTGTCAGAGTCAAGCTGGGCGTGTGTTTTTTGTTTTGTTTTGTTTTGTTTTGTTTTGTTTTGTTTTGTTTGAACAGAATGAAGTCCCTGAGGTGAAGAAAGAAGAGACTTTGTTGGATCTGGACTTTGACCCATTCAAGCCTGAGGTAGCCTCTGCAGGTTCTGCTGGAGTGACCCAGTCCCCCATGTCTCAGGTAACGAGTCATTTTGATGATGTTTGGAGATGATGTTTCATAAATTTTAATAAGTCAATAAGGCACAGATGCATTTCAGTGACCCTTCTCCCTTTCAGATGACTACCTACTTTTCTTTTTAGTTGACAAATATTTTCTAATGGAAAGGAAGGGTAAAAAGAGAACCTTATCAATATCAATGATTCTAGAGCTCCCCCTACCATTAGCTTTCTCTATCCATAGAGCTGGAATAACCAAGCATTCCCGTTTGCCCAGGAATCACCTATCTTAGAGCAATTGTTAAGAGTACCTCCTTTTTGTACTCAAAAGTATCCAGGTTTTGATGATATACTTTATGGCTTCCCTAAATAAAGTTCTCTCTGGACTTTGAGTTTATTCTTCTCGTTGCTTTCTCTACTTTCCTCCCTCATACTTTGCAAATTAGGGCATGTTTGAAATAACCATGAGATTATGACCCAAGAGAACTGTTTAACAGTCTGAAAGTTTTGAATTTGGTGATGTTCTCCACATTGCAGACACTTCCTCAGGGGATCTTGATTATGTCCTGATGTAAAGTTGGCCTTGCTTAGTCAAACTCATCCTTACTCATACCTTCTCACTATCAGATTTTTCCCATTTCAATAGTTGCTGTGCTAGCATCTCCATCAGAGGGTCACTGGTGGTGGGTGCTGTTATGATCTGTGGATGATTCCTGTGAAATGCAGTTACTTTATAATTGTCTATGTTTATAAAAGAAGTTCACTTAAAATATGGATAAACAGAAATTGTTTATATCAGTATTTTTGGTGTGGTCCAAGCCTCACGCTTTAATTTGGGCAAATCCATGGATGCTAGAAATTACTTTAAAGTAATTAAGGATGATTTATTGTAAAACTAAGGAATTGAGACCCAGCTCAATTTCCTGGTCTTAAAGCTTTCTTTATACCTTATAGTACACAAACCACTGGGGAACAGACTGCTCAATGTCTACCTCAATAAATAAAGCTTATTTTTAATCCATGCTTTGGTCCAGATAATAGGGTTTCTAAGGGCCTCCTTGTTATATGGGAACAATAAATATCTAAGATGTCAATAAAGCAGGAAATCAAGTGGATCAGACACTATCCTTAAAGGTATTTTGCAAAGGTGGGCCTCTTAACATTTCAGAAATTTCTACTAATTTTCTTTTCAGGGAATCATATGTATGAGAATATTAAAGGTTCCAAGAAGTCCTGTAATTAAAAGAAAAACTTGTTTAGATTTGTTAACTTATAATTTCCCAAATATATTTGACCAGCAAACTAAGTTTTAGTGAAATTTTCTTAACATTCATTGGAATGCTTCTAAAACATACTTTTGTAAGTGCTAACATGGTAACTGTCAGTATGTTTGACAGTTCTGCCTTGGTGGCCAAGAAAATCAGAAAGAGGGAGTACATTAAGGATACGTGCTTCTCAGAGTTCTCATAGCGCAGGTAGCCAGCAGAAGTTATGGATTCCCTCAGCCTTACTTTCCACCATTCATTACTTTAGAGTGGGAAGGAAAAGCTCAGCAGTGATCACACTTGATCAGTGGGTGAGATTCCACAGTATTTCTGTCTGCAAGTTTGAATCAAGAGAGAAACCTTCTTTATTATCAATTCTTGAGTAAATTAATCCATAAATCATGGAATTTTGTGTGGCAATAGGACCAAGATTCTTTCAGAATTTTTTTCAAAAAGAGACCTTGGTTAAGTCTTGGTTCTGAAGAGAACACATTACTGTAGTTGGGAAATTTGCCTGTGCCACTGAATTTTTTTTAGGCCGAGTAATAAACTGCTCTAGCTTTGCAGTGGCCATAAGTGAGTCACTGCACCGTGGAGTTGGCCTGCGATCCAGTTCTAATTATATCTCTTCCCTTTTGTTAAGACATCTTAGGCTGAAATAACAAAAAGAACAAAGCTGTTCTTTTCCCTCCCCTTCTCTCATCTTCAAAGTGGTCTCCCTGACCCACCACCTGATCGCATGTTTTAGGCTGATGTTCTTGCTGCCAGCAGAACAGCTCACCTTGTGATCTCTGCTGTGTGCACAGGAGCTTTCATGAAGCCAAGACCTGATAAACACAGTTGTTCAATTGCTGCCTTCCTTGGGAGAAAGTACTGTGGCTGTTTGCATTACACAGGCATATGATTACACAGGCATGTGTAGCAGCTTTTAGGAGCTGTGATTCTTAAGGCCCTAGGAAGCAAGAAAACAAATCAACTGGGTGATCAGAAAATGTCTATTAAATGATAGGAGTCCATGTCCCAATACCTGCGGTTTTCAGTGGAGCTGCTCTGCTCTCTGTCATAGTCATCCTAGAAGTAGATGCTAACCCCCGAGACCGAGCAGGCTGCGCAGGGATGCAGGGTGTGTGGGCAGCGCAGTGAGAGCAGGCCCAGAGCAAGCGGCGGGGCTTGGTCAGAACCCCAGGGCCCAGGGTCTGGGGTGCAGAATCCAGATGAGACATCTGTAGTCACATCTGGAAACTGTCAGATTCTTGAGATGGAAGTGCCAGATTCCCTTTCTTGCTGCTTTTATTTTAGTGATTCAAAACAAGTTCGAAAATACATGGGAAGTAAAAGAATATGGCTTAGCAGTAGTTCTCAATCACTGAGGACATAAGAAAAAGAGGTCTCTTCCCATTTTTCCCACCACACAGGGCAAGTCATTTTTGAACATTTGGATTTAACCCCTGGATCAATAAGTTTTATATTAAAAATCCAATAGTAAACATAATTCATTCATATGGTTTAGTGGGGTCCTACTAATTTTCATGATTATTAATTAATTATGTTATGTAATTCAACCTATTGAAAAACTATTTTTCCGGGAGTCGTTTGTCATCAATTGGGTCATAATGCATCCTTTACAGTTTGATGTGGGGAAGATAGGAAATGGCACTAGCAATGATTAGAATCTGCACGTTTCCTCAAAGATGTGATAAACTCATATCTGGACTCTTTGTTTAGTTCATTTAAGTGTGTGTGTGTGTGTGTGTGTGTTAATGTAAACCATTCATTATGTCATAGATATGGTTTCCTACTTGTATGTCAAAGGCACATTGATTAGACCTCTGCTATCCAATATGGTAGCACTAGCCACATTTAGCTTTTTAAATTCAAATTAAATTTCAAATTCAAATAAAAAAAACTGTGTAAAATGAAAAATTGGGTTCTGTTACACTAGCACATTTCTAGTTCTCAAAGGCCACACGTGACTAATGGCTACCATATTGGAAAACACAGGTAGGGACATTTTTATCACCAAGGAAAATTCTGTTGAATAGCGCTCTACTACATATTTTGAAATGCTTATTATTTTATTTCAGGAACTTTTCTCATCTCAGTAATTTTTACATGCTTGGGATTTGTGTACTTACAGTATTTTTATTTGTTTTCAGACATTGCCCTGGGACCTATGGACGGTAAGGATACTAAGAACTCTATATTTCAATGTATCAGTGTGCTTAGAAATTTAGAAACCTTGTTTTATTTTATTTCATCTGTGATGGAAAGAAGGCCCAAACACTTTTAATGGCAACATATCCCCTAGAGTAATGGTCAGCTCCCCTGATGGTTCCAAGCATTATTACCAGCACTTAGCAGTGATGGTGAGGAAAAGTGTCCATGCGCCAGACTCCGGGATGGGCAAGAATTGGATGTGCCCCTAATGCTTCTTCCTGTGATTATTGGTGGCTCGAAGTAATGTTGCAGGGAAGGACATACACATTTGTTATTGCTAACAATATAAGAAAACTATAAATGAAAAAATGTAAGGGATTGGCTATTCTGTACAGGGATGTATTTTCACTGAAGCATAATCAATTAGAATTTGAGCTTTAGAGCCAGACAGCCCTGCATCTGACGCCAGATTCTATTTCTTAGAACAATATTATTTAAGCAATTTCTAAAAGTCTTTCAGTCACAGTTTCTCTCATGTGTAAAATAAGGATAACCATACCTACTGCAGAGGGTTACGTGAGCCTTAAGTGAGAGAGTATTTATATTTGTAGAGTATTTAGCCCAATGCCTGGTATGTATCGATAGAAGGGAGAAGCGCAAGGCGGAGAGCTTCCAGAACTGAGAGCTGGGGAAGAGACACAATCAGAGCTTTGTGGTGGCAGCACCTGTGGTGTGAAATGAGCACAGAGGCTGCACCGTGTGGAGCCTCACAGCCCTGGGGGAGAGCCTTTGTCTACCCTGGTTAGACCAGCCCTGGTCGTGTGGTCGTAAGAACTCCGCTTGAGCCTTAGGTTTTCTTTCTTTAGTGACACAGGAACAGGAAAGTTTGGATGACCTAGCTATTCATGAGCCTGTGGTCTTCTGAAGTGGCATTGCTACTTTTTCCCTTCAAAGAAAAACGGGACTGTCCCCTCCGCTGCCCAGGAACAGGGTCATACTCTGCTACATCAGATCCTTGGAGCATCTTGGAAAGCTCTCAAGAGCTAAAAGAATGTTGATTGAAAACATCTTTAATAGTGATCTGGTTTGGCTTCTGTATTCTCAAAGAGGGATGCCTGGATTAGTGTTCAAGACATTGGATTTCTAGCCTCAAATTTGTGTTTGTATTCTTGGAGATTAAGAGGACAATGTTATTTTTTTTTTTGTTACACCAATAATTATACATTTAGTTGAAGCTACACCACATTTTTCTTCCCTTGGCTGAAAAGTATATGGTGAGAATAAATGTATCATAATGAGCATTGACTATTTTAGAGGACAAACTTGCTGGGAATGGTAACAGTGACAATATTGTGAAGCAATAATTCCCTGGACATAATTACTTCATGTCTTGATCCTCTCAGCTCCCCAATGTTGATTCTTTGTGTCCCGACAAAGCTTCTAGCACTGGGGTAGAACTTGAGGAGAAGCTTCTAGGCAGCCAGAGTGGTTAGTATCAGACCATCCTCCATCCAAAATCCATCTCAGAGACAGAACCAAGTGCAGAGTGTGTTTGGGAAGGTTTTCTCTGATACTGTGTCAGAGCAGATGGTACTGGGTGCCAGTGCTTGATGCTGCCCTCACGCTCTCATGCTTGCTTATTTATTTGAAAATTTGCATTTCAGAGTCTGCTAAAACAACAGTCATGTAATAGCCATAAAAATGTTGTTGTTACTAGAAAATAACAGAAGCTTTGTGTCAGTTGTATAGTCTTAAGAGTATTGGGACGGAACTCATTCCTATCACAAAATAAGTTATTGGATCTCAAACCAGTGCAAACAACAGCTTATAGCAGAATATTGACTCTGGACAACAGGGGATTTTAATGTGCAAGCAATTTTTTCCCTTGTGATTTTTTTTCAATCAGTCCTTTTTATTTTAGGATGAAATATTAATCAAGACAGACTACATTCTGGGCCATAAAACACATTTATGTATTTAAAAGAATAGAAGCCATAACATTTAGACCATAATGGAATTGAACTAGAAATAGATTAACAGAAGGATAGGTGGAAAATGCCAAAATATTTGGAGATTATGCAGCACACTCCCAAGTAACACATAGGTCAAAGAAGAAATATGAGGAATTTTAACATATTTTGAACTACATGAGAATAAAAATGTAGCTTATCAAAATTGTGAGATGAAGCAAAAACAGTGCTTAGAGATTAATTTAAAATTTGACAATGTATATTGCAAGAAGAAAATGTAGAATCATTAATCTAAACTTTTACCTTAGGAAACTAGAAATAGAAGAGCAGTTAAATTCAAAGCTTGCCTACAATTTATTATTATTATTATTATTTTTTTTTACTCATACAGACAAACACTGATTTGGTACAGCCGGTAGGTAAATATCCAGAAAATTCTGGATTTTTTTGTATGTAATATGCATTTTATACATATTATCTTAAATGAGCTTATTTTTTTCCCCATGGCATTGTGAGTCACAGATTTAACCTTAAGCCATTTATTTGATTTAACTACTCTCTAGTTTTTGTATAACTGGTACTACCCTACTGCAAAGCCTTGTGTTTCTCATCAACTATTACCATGATCTATTTCAACTTATGTTTTTTTTTTCCTTTCCTGTTCTGCATACTCTAAAGACTGACTCTTCAAAAAGTGTTTCCCTGTGTAACCTGATTATGGAGGAAACTCCAGACAGTGGGTTGGCCGAAGAAATTCAAAGATGTCAAATTGATCTAGGTGCATTTATTTGGGGCCCTGATGCTAGTACAGAGAGTGTCAGCCAGGAAACTACCCACGATGGGTCTCAGGAAGCCTCTGCATGTGTCTCTGAAGCAGAGCAAGACGTGGGATTATCCACTGGGAAGTTTCCTCCTACTGATGGGCACAGACAGGCTGAGCAGGTCGTGGGGCCAGCCCCTCCATGTGGAAATGAACAGCTGTCCCCAAAGCCTGTGCCTGTGGCTGAATTTACCATTGCTGCTTGCATGGAGGTGGGGCAGCCTTATGACTCATCTGACTCAGAGATGCCAGCCCTGAGAGCTGGTGGCTTGGTCAACGAAAGTCCAGAAGATGTTAAAAAGTCAGAAGAAAAGGAAGAGAAACAGAAGACAGAAGATTCTGTGTGGGCAGGTGTGGAGACATGTGAAAGGGTAGACACTGGAACTATTGATATCAAGACACTAGAAGTTCAGAGGAATTTAAAGAGAAAGTATGTGAAAATAGAGGAAACAAGGTGGTAGATATTCTTAATAAAACAGGAAAGCAAGACCAGGAGACCCTAAAGTCAGTGAAGAAGAAACTAGGAAAGGTCTAAGAGTTAGCTGTAAGGAAATTGTAAAGTGAAATGTACTTTGAAATATCTGACATTATTAGAAAAGGACATGGCAGATGATTTAAATGACAGAAAGGAAAGGCTAATTGAGGGTGTTCGAGTAATAATAAATACTTGTGAAATTGTATAGGACTCTGGAGCTAAACCTGGCAGTCACACAGATACTTTAAATCTGTCTCTTTAGGCTGACTCTGTACTTAGTATTGAAGATGCGAGCCTTGAGGGTTGGAATTTAGCTATAGAAAATATAAAGAAAAATTTAATATATATATCATTCAGCACAGGGGAGTACAGATGCCAAAGAATTTCAGTGGGAGTGTGTGTTTCAAGTACCTGTAGTTGACAAGAAATGACAGTCAAGCTGGCTTTCTTTTTTTCAAGGAAACATGAACTGACAGCTCAGTCTAGGACAGATCTTAATCATGCTCTGGAGACTAATGCAAACAGAAGAGACTGGTGTTTATAGAAGGCAGAAGATTCATTAATAGATGGGTCTGAAAGTACAGTGACTGGAGACTGTAGTCATACCATTAACTTGCCAACAATTGCAAAAACAGACTCTCTGGGAACAGATCCAGATCAAATCTTGTAGCCAAGTGTGGATTCAGCAATGAATAATATGGATATACTGAAATTCTCTGGTATACCAGCTGGCCAAGCAAGTGATTTGTCCTCTGTCTTAATTGTACTAATTATTTATCTATTAGTGATATGGAAGCCTTAGCTAATTACTGAGAATGTTTAGATGTAGTTGAGAACAAGAGAAGGTTGGAGGTGGATTTAGTGGGAGATGTATGTGAGGAATGAGCCTTTGATAGCTGCTGGGAACAAAACAAAAACACAGTTAGACCATTGGTTCTGGGAACCTCCCAGAATTCTGCTAGTCCCCAAGACAATGGCATCAACAACTCAGATTTATCTGAAGATGAAATTGCTAACCAGAGATATGGATTGTTGTACCAAGAAATAGAGGCTGATAAAGAAGAGGTACTTACCCTAGTATATAGTATAGACTAGACAGACTTCTGTAGGTTCTGCTTATCCTAACCTTTACCACCTACATCATTATCCCTCACTATGTTCTCTGAGCCCGGCCTTACCTACTTGATACATTGTTTCATCTACCTCTTGAAGCCTGTGCAAACCAAACACAAATAGGTTGACAAAAAAAAAAAAGGCACAGAATAATTATGTTGGAATTAATGAGTCTATTTTGCCATCAATTTACTGTTTATTTTTCCTATTTTTATTTTTCTATTCAAGTATTAAAAGTATGTAGAACATACTAATTTACTTTTTTTAAGTGGTTACCCCAATAAGAACCATGAAATGTTTCTACCTAGGCCTACTAAAAATGTAGAATATAATAATAGGTGTCATCAAAAAATCTAACAAAATACTGTGTTAGAGAAATACTAGAAATAATTCTCCTAGCGTCTATCAATGGCCTGAAAAAAAGGGCTATTTAACCCCTTGTGGTTTTTCTCTAGAATCATATCATTATTGAGAAAGTCGGTTTTAGTTAGCCCTGAACCACACACCAGCAGGAATTGTAAAAATGATCTTTTTCTTTTTCCTTTTGTCAGCCTATTTAAAACGATAAGTATGGCAATTTGCATTTCTTATACACTGTCACCTTTTGCATTATTTTAAAATTTGTAGTCGTCTTTACTTTCCAACTTATCTAATGGGCATTCACTGATCCTACAAAATTGATGAAAAATAATGTAATTGAATTTCCATTTTTGTTTAGGCTTCTGATGGTTCATTTAATGGATTCACGCAGGTAAGAAATTGACTTGCTGGCAAAATCAATCTGTTGAGAAAGATGAAAATTTTTAAGTAAGAACCTCTGTCACTGGTATGTCACGATTAATTGTGTCAGCACAAAACTTCGTTCCATTCCTTATAAATTCAGTAATAGAAACAGTAGTAGTATCAGCATGTAGGGTTGCTGTGACTATTAATGAGGTATGCCCAGCAGCCTAGCACACACTGGGTCCTCCGTGACTATAGGTAGCTATTGTTAACATTAGTAGCTACACCTTGGGCTTCTGTCACCTACTGATTCCTCTGCTAGAAATTAGGAGTTTTTCTGAGCTGGGAGATCCACTAGATTCAGCTGTTTGAAAAGAGGAGATGGGATTGTTTTGAACAAATGAAATTGGTCTTTAGAAAATATGTTATGTTTTAGAGAGCCATTGGAAAATTAGAAATCATAGGTCGGCTCTGGCCAAGGAGGCACTATTTTCCTTGCGGACCTGAGGAGGAGGAGCCATAAGATGGACTGTCCCATTCACTGTATGTGTCCCAGCAGATGGACAGCTGTAACACACTTAGAAGGCAGACCGTGTGGCTATCAAGCTCATGCGATAAGTTCTGAAAACCTCTTGAAGGGAGACTTCAGACAGAAGCTTGTCTGTGATGAATGCTTTGTCTCACAGTATTAAATGTGAACAATTTCATATTTTAACATGTAGAATTTCATTATTCAAAGTTTGATTACTTTCGCCCATGTTCCCTATAAAAAGATAAAACCTGCTCACTCACCCACACCTAAATACAAACACAAAGAAAGATGAGAGTGCACCTCTTCTATCTGCATAAATTCTTGAATATTCGGGTTCTGAGACTTGTTATTCATTTCTCATTTTTAGAATCTGTATTTTTATCACTTATAAATGCACACAATTTAAAGAGCACAAAATTTTATGAGTTTTTTACTTAAAAACTTGATTGTCATATCCCTCCATTTCCTGTTTCTTAGAGGTACTTTCACTTCTTTTAACAAATTAATCTGGTTTCACCCCATAGGTGTGCGTGACTATGTTATAAGTTTGTTTTTTGATTTCTAATCATTAGCTATCGGCTCACCTCTCTGGAAGGTGAGGACCTAAAGCTCTCTCAGCCTCCTGCCTGCACAGTTGACCCCTCTCTCCTCCTTGCCTTCCTCACTATTGTTCCGCTGTAGCCACACAGACAATCCGTGGTAATATTGTAACAATGACAGAAATGCTATTTGTGCCTGAGTCATGAAGTTTATATTTCCTTTTAGGACAACTTTTCATTTCCTTTGCGGAAATAATTGTAGAGTGCTATTTGTTCGTTTGTTGGTTTGCTTAGTTTTCCAGGTACTTATCAGTAGTTCAAGCCCATGCTCTGCAGTTACATAAATCTCCCTTCATTTTGTTAGGAAACATTAAATATTCAATCAGTGTCATCTTCTTGAAGAACTTGACTCTTTTTCTGGGCTGCTCCAGTGTAAAGTGGGGACTCAGTGGCTGCGGCACAGCTGGAACCATAGGCTCTCCCATTAGGTGTGTCCTGGGGGTCCCCCTCGCCTCTCGTATTTCAGTCTGCTCTTTGCTGGACATGCATCTTCCTCATTTATGGTTTAATTCCACAAATTAAAATACCTCCTCATCCCCAAATTGAAGCACATGCTCCAGTAGGTTCCTGAGAAACCTGTGCATGAGATGTATATGTCGGTGCTTTATACATCTGAAAATGTCCTTGTATACATAATGGTCTTTCATTTTGGATGTTTTGTTACAAGTTGTAAATCATTCCCCTTAGAATTTTGAAGCTGTTATTCCACTCCATTCTACCTCCTAGTGTTGCTACTGAGAAACTGTTGGTGTGATTTGTGATATTTGTGAGAAACTTGTTTTTTCCCCTCTCTCTCTGCTGCTTATACACCAGTCACACTGTCTTTTCCTCTCCTTCTCTCTGGAAGTTTATAAACTTTTCTTTTTCCTACTATTTTTGAAATTTACTGTGATGTATTATGGTTTGGGTCTATTTTCATGCATTGTTTCAGGCACTTTAATCTAAAAATGTATGTCTTTTAGTTTGGAGGAATTTTTAAAGATTACTTAGAATTTCTCTTTTGTTTTCTTTGAACACTTCTCTGTTTCATGTGTTGGCTTCCTGAGCTAGTCTTCTAATGATTTTTTTCTTTGCTGTTTCCTTTTCTGTCTCATCTTTCTCTACCTTCCAAGTCTTCTTCTCATTTTTCACTTGTATATATTTTTAAAATTTTCATGAGCTCTTTCTCATTACTGAGTATTTTTAATATAATTCTCTTATGTAATTGATACATCTTCCATTATATCTCTGAGGGTATTATTAATTTTTTAATTATTATTATTAACTTAATAATAATTAAGTTAATAATAATAATAATTTTATGATTTTACCCCTACAAAATATTGGGAGTTTTTTTTTTATTTGTTCTGTTTTACTCTTGGTTTCTCCCTTTAATAATGAGACTTTTCTTAACTGTCTCGTGATGTTGGCTGCCTGTTCATATTTAAGAGTGGAATACTAAAAAGCTAACAGGAAACTTGTACAGGTAGGTACAGCTCATTGACTATGGGCATTGTTCTAGGGTTTCCTGGCTCATCTTTGCTGTTGAGAAACCCCTTATGTCATATTCTTTAGACATTTCTATTTGAGCTGGTCTAATTTCTCTGGGAAGACTCTTCTGTTCTCCTGCGTGAGGGGTGCAAGCCTGGCTGCCAGTGAAATGGAAGGTGAATGGGAAGAAGCTGGGGAGGTGGGCTCCGTGTTCTCAATACTTACTATGTGAATGATCATTTAATCCTGCTACTTTCCTAATATAAATGTGTTTCCCCCAGTCCAGAGACCCTCTGTTTCCGCCTCTATGAAAATAATCTCAAGCCTTGTGTTGCTGTGGGAAAGGATGTTGCTCGTTTTTCAGATACATGAGAGTATCTCCCAGTCTACTTACTTTTGCATAGACTTTCAACCATTTCCCCTGTCTTTAGCACCACTGTGACTTCCATTTCCTGTGATTCCCACGTTTCTAATTTTTGATCCATTGTGAGTTCTGAGTAATGAATTGGATTGCTTTTTAGCATTTCTTACATCACCTTAGGATACCAGTCTTTTGGGATCCATCAAGTTATGTATTGCTCATTTTTCTGATTTTCAGTTTCAAAATTTTATTGATCTTAGCTTTCTTCTCATTCTTTTTACACTTATGGGTTTATGCCTTCAAAAATTTTGCTTTATGAAATTCCCTTTGTTGTGGTTTAGTTTGAATTCTTGAGGTAATAGAGGTAATTGCCTGTATTCAACCTATCATCTTTTTTTTTAAAGATTTTTATTTATTTACTTTTAGAGAGGGGAAGGGAAGGAGAAAGAGAGGAAGAGAAACACCGATGTGTGGTTGCATCTCATGCACCCCCCGCTGGGGACCTGGCCCACAACCCAGGCATGTGCCATGACTGGGAATCCAACCGATGACCCTTTGGTTTGCAGGCCAGTGCTCTATCCACTGAGCCACACCAGCCAGGGCTCAACCTATCATCTTTAACCAAATGTCACTTCTTCGTCTTTTTTGTTGCAGAACCCTTGATGTCAAATTTTTTGTAGGTTCTTTCTTTTCTTGAACTGGTCATTTTCCCAGGAAAGACTCTGCTGACTTCCTGTTTGGAGGGTATATGCCTAGCTGCCAATATAATGAGAGATAAATGGTACCTTAGAGATCACTGTTCTCTTAGAATCCTCTACCTTGATTATTTAAGTCAATGAATATATTGTATAAAATTTTTATGTTATGTCTCATAATTAACCTGTAGAAGTTATACTTAGGCAAGATAATAAGATTGAGTTTCCAACATTTAAAAAGTTTAAATATATATTTTAGAGCCACTAAATTCTAATGCAGAACAGGTGTCCAGAAGACAAGCTGCAGACCAGTGATACCCCTGAAGACACTGTCCTTCATTTAATGTCTCTTGTTGTATCCTCATGTTCTGCTAGCTCAGAGTTATCTTTACAGTAACTACTGTTGCATTACTCTTGCATTTTTTGCTTTTCTGATTATAATACAGACTTTTAAAAACTGTTCAGTGTGTTCAGTGATACAATTGATGAGAGCTAATTTAAATGATTTCTTTGTTGTTGTTTTTAGTAAATTAGCTGAAACCTTAATACTTTTAATCTTGTATTTTCTCCCTGATTTTCAGCCCCAGGACACTTCATTATTCATGATGTCAACAGATCAGAATATGACCAGTAACTTGCTGGTAAGTTGATTTTGGTTTATGTTTTTGGGAAGTTAATACTTACTATTGATTGTTCTAATGTTGATGATTCTAGGTTTTCTAGAGCTTGAATATCCAGAATGTGGTTTCTGCAGCTTTTTGTTTTCTAGAAAATAGAAAGGAGAGCTTCTGAAAAAATAGTGTGACTTTGTGGGATTCTCTTTATAAAGGCACAGTGATCACAGCAGAAACAAAGGTCTTCTAATTATGGGGTCAGTGGAACAGCATAAATTAATGAAGGACATGGATGTTTCCGTGTTAATATAATTTAAGCTACAGGATTGAAAATGAAATTCCTTTAAGGATTCATAGTCCAAGACGGATCACTGTTTTTTTCTTGAACATGAATCTACTTCATTTCTTATCTCCTCCCTTTTTGTGAGTTGAAGAGAGAAGTAATGCATATTAGAGATGCGATACCTACTTTGATGAGAGATGAGATGAGAGAAAAGATTATCTAGAGAGTGAGTAGGAAGTTGAGTGACTCTTGGTGTTAGAAGAAATCCTGCAAGATGGATTATCAGTTATCATGGGAAACCTCTCTAGCAGCCACTTAGTAATAGAGTTGAATGAAGAGACTTTGAGTGATGCCACTTGTGAGCTTGTCAGTGATACGCTATAGAAGGTTTTGGATGTCTGAGTATTAGTGCACAAAGGCTATTTGTAGCTCACTAGTTTTCCATGGAAATAGTGTATAATTACACTATTAACAGCTCCTGGCTTTTTCATTGGGAGCTTGGAACTGGATAAGTAGAGTGATTTTTTTTAAATGATTACACTTCTAAGAAAGGAATTCTGTTCTTGGAAGTTTGTCTAAAGGGTAATTTAATATTTTTTCAAAGGCATATGTGTTCCTAATACCTTCGTCATGGATTTTCACACTTCTGGATAACCAAGTGAAAGATGGAATCTCTGTGGCCTTCAAATAAAGATTGAAGTGTTTAAAATACAAATTATATTGGTGTTAATAATTGAGTAAGAGAGACTCATGATTTATATTTATTGGTGAGTTTCTGTCTGGGTGATGAAGAACTAAGGGTTATTCTGATACTGGAGGATCAGATTTTTAGCTGTCAATTGTGAATTAAGAAAAATGGAGAAATGCTGATATAAAGGAAAGAACGGATTATAAATTAAACTTACATCTATTACTATGATGCAAAAGTCTGGTCATAGAAATCAGTGGTTTTTAAATTTCTCTGAACATCTTCCTGCTCTCACAGCTGGTTCCAGGAGCTTCTTGCCTGCCCTGCCCTTCTCTTGACATGTAGTCTCTGAAGCATACATCTTGCACCTTCTTCCCATTGGAGATCTTAACTTTGTCAGGCCCATCACTGCATGTGCTGCAGGCATTAGCTCTTCCTGTTGGGCACTGGGAAAGCACAGGGAACCTATATCCCCTGGTGAGTTATGATTACTCAGGGCTTCCCCAGGAGCAGGACAGTTGCCTAGCATTAGGTAATTGACTATTCTGAGCGAGGTAGAGGTTAAAGTTGGTAGGTAGTGAGTGGCACACCTTCCCAGTCTGCATTGTATAGCCCCACAGCACATTCTTTGAGTGCTGGTTTAAACTTGGAATCTGTCAGTCTTGCTCAAGGCTCAGAGTTACCTCCTTGTCATTTTGCACTTCTCACCAAATTAGCTCTCCCAAGACTGGAGAAATAAGATTGTACTGCAAGTGCCATGTTGGTAGATGACTAGACCCTTAGCCTTACTGTTCGATCCACCTCCTCTCCCTCTGCATCAACCTGTCTTCCTTCCATTTTATCACAGAGGCTATCAGGAAGTTTATGGGCCAAGTGTACACAGCTAGTTTTGTTCTAAATGAAGAATTCCATTTCTGAGTCTCTGAGTTTATTCACTGTCCCATCCTGTTGCCACAATAAATATAAGGAGTTCCCTCCCCTCTAATGTAGGATGATGCCTAATCGAGCAAACAATAGGAAATCAACCCTTTTGCAGTGGTTATCAGGGGATGCATCTTACAGAAAAAATGTTCTTGAAGCAAGGCACAATTCTGACAGGACTATTTTAGATCTTTTTGAGAGATATGATTCACCATTTACCTGTGCTTTCCTTTGTAGCTTGACAAAATATTTACAATTTTACATTATCTTAGATGGAATAGAAGGTCAACTTATATATCCAACATCTGAGTAGCTGATTTTATGTATAGCCATGCTATCATGTTTCATCTGCACTCATCTTTTAGTGAGTTATATTCATTTTTCACTCTGAAATGTAGATGTTAAGTTGTAATGCTGTATTATAATATTTTGCGTGATATTATAACATAAGGAAAATGTTGTGACTTGTGTCGACTTTGTGACTTTGATCATAGCTCCTCTTCATACTATACCTGTGTTGCATTGTCTGATTTCAGCAAACAAGTGAAATTTGACTCATTTATAAAATCACCCTACTTAGCTTGCCTTATATAAAACACAAAAATTTCTTCAGATTTCCAAGAAACCCATATTCTGATACGAATACTTTTTTCATTTAAAGCTATCTTTACTTTTACTTTTAAGGTACAATGATAGATACCTAACTCATCTTTTGAAACCTTTCTTGGCTCCACATCTGGCTTCAGACTTCCTCCATCTCTCATAAACTCTGCTCACAGAGGGACAGCCCACCTACATATATGGATTTCTTGGTGCTTTGTCAGGTTACCCTTCCTCTCCTTCTTGTGTAAGTCATTTGATAACATAGCCTCATTGAAAATCAGCTTGACTTCCACGTGGTAAGATCATACCCTGAAACAGAAGCTTTCAGTTTCTGTTTGTCACTATGAAAACTTGTTTCATCGTGATGATAATTCTTTTGAACAATAAAAGTGACATCTCTTCCCAGAAAAAGTACATTAGAGTGAATTTTATTTCATTCCTTCTTAAAAATTGTATCAGAATACCTCTTAAAGGCTATAAAAGCCCATAAAAATATGAAATTTCTGCATACTCATCTACCAACGTTTCCTTCTATTTTATTCTGGACTTAAAGAGAAGGTGGGTGTGATCATGGTGTGCGTCACAATGGAGGATCTGGTGGGGGACACAAGATAAATCCTTTGTATGTTTATCTAACACTAGGCTATTCGTTATTCATTTTTTTCTAATCTCAACATAACTTCTCTATCACTTCCCTATGGAACTTGTCATGTACATCAGCTTAGATGGATGCATAGAATTAGAGGTGGCTTTTGATTGCTTATGGTGTCTAACAGAAGTTACTGATTTCTCCATTCAGAATATTTATTGGTGACTTCTTACTCCTCTATGAAACCACTTTTAACTCTTTCACAGTTTCAATGTCCTAATGGAAAAAAAATCTTAACATACCCTCTAACAGCCATCCATTTAGTGAAATAATCCTGCTAAACAAATATGCTTATTTATAATAATCAAAATTGAGCCCTAGCTGGTGTGGCTCAGTGGACTGAATGCCAGCCTGCAAACTAAAGGATCGCTGGTTTGAGTCCCAGTGTAGGGCACATGCCTGGGTTGCAGGCCAGATCCCCAGCATAGGGCACACAAGATGCAACCACACATGGATGTTTCCCTCTCTCCTTCCTTTCCCCTCTCTAAAAATAAATAAATAAAATCTTTTTAAAAAATTGAAAAAGTGGGAACATTTTCAGTAGCTATAGTAACAACATACATTGGCTATGGTGTTTTTGATGGCCTAATATTATTTAATACTGCTAATTTTAAAACCAAAAGAGCCTAGAGCTAAGAGATTTTAGGAGCTGGAATCAGGATGATGTCTACGCATAGAGGTCACAGTGGGATGAAGAGACGTCACTGTTGTCCACACAATTAGAAAAGTCTAATTGATACCACAAAGAATACTGTCCTGTGCAGACTAATGCATTACAGCATGAATATTGGAATGACCCCTAAATGTTTGGTGTAATGCATATCAGTAGAGCTGGGAGTTCCCAGAACTGTGCCCTGTGAACTCTTCCTCACTTCTTCTAGCTGGCAATGGTGGACCTCCTAGGATCCTCCCTTCCTCTCTCTTCTCTCTTCTTTCTCTTCTCCCCCCCCCCCCCAAATAATAGAATGTACCATTTTAGCAACTCTTATAGATATGCTGGGAAGTGAGTAGTCAAAATGTTGCAAGTAAAATGAATTGCCAAAATAGTAAATCTTGGTCTAATGTCAAGGAAAATGACAATTCTTGATGATGGTAAAAGAGAAGCCTATAGTTCTGTAAAGGACCATGATGACAAAAGGGGGCTTATTTTCAGCAGAGATTTGATGAAGTTAGTTGCCTGTAGGATGATGAAGAAAATCTTAATTGTCCAATATTCTGTACTGCTATCTATTGATATGTTGCATCTTTTTGCTCTACCCTCAAAACAAATAATCAAAGGCTGAGTCTGAACAGGCTCTACCAGCAGAGCCAAAAGCAGAGGAGCCCCTTGCCGCTGCAGCACCTGCTGTTGGACTGGACACCCAGGCTGAAGAGCCAGTGGAGGGGGCAGTGGTGAGCACCACCTCCATCCCACCCATCACCTGCCACCCCTGCCACAGACATGCTCCTTTCATGATTCCATTTCTCCCTTCTCATCCAGGCTTCACTTGGGGCAGATCACCTCCATACCTGTCATGTGTCCACAGGTTCAAATGACCTTTGTTCCTTTGAAAGTCAAACTTCATTCTCTTTTATTTTTAAAAAGGAAAGGTATCCAGGGACCTGATCTTATCTATGTTCTTCATAAAGCATGTCTTGATTCTTTCTGATTATCTCCCATTCACAGTAGGTAGGTTGTAGAACTCTTTGTAGGCAAAGAGTCAAATCTATTAATGTGGTATTCTGCCTGTGGCTGCTAGAGCTGGGCGTTCAATTAGAGGGCAGCCTGCAGCTGATAGCATGATAATAACTTTGTTGGTTGTGTGTACGTATTTATTTCTTACAATATCAGTTTTATAGGTAGTTAAGGCCAATGAGAGATTGAAATCCCATATAGCAAATCCATGAATCAGTAAGATTCCTATGTGTGCAATCATTTGCTCACAGTCAAGTCTGATACTGGCTCTGTTCCATCCACCCATATACCACACGATATCGCAAACTGGGATGAGGTCTATATGCACCCTCTTCAATGGATTGCATAACACCTGTGAAAGCACAGACTAATACCAAGGAAAATCTAATTCAAAATAGTACTGCAAAGTGAAAAGTTTATTTATGAAATACAGTTAAAATGTCTCCCAAGAATTTCAATCAGGATACCATTTACTTCAGCCTTTATAGAATCTGCACAAAGAAAAAAGCCAGTCTCCTTCTGTTCCAAAATTACATTGCCTAGATAAGATAACTAGAGAAATAATATTTATGCTGCTTGCTTTTGGTGATCTAGGTCATTTTACTGGAAAAGTATAGGTCATCTGTCAAATCTATAGTTTACTAATAATGGTAAAAAGATAATAGGGCAAGGTAGCCATGGAAAATGCAAATTAAGAATGACTCAAAAAATGATTTTATTTTCCATTTAAAGATTTAGAGTTGGACTAAGTCCTGTAAGAGAAAACAAGAATGCATTCTGCTAGATTGAGTTCCTCCAAAAGTGCTGCTTGCCCGGTTTTAGACCAGAGAATGCTGAGGCTCCCTGGTCCAGTATCAGGGTTTTGCTTCCAAATCGTCACTCCCGGATTCACTAATGATCTATTTCAATAACTCAGTGCAAATGGAGCATTTTCATTTGGTGTCAGAATGTGGTCTGCCCACCCAACTTAGCTTTAAGTAACAACAGAAGGGAAAGATACGGTTGAATTTTTATTGCTGTTTAAATAAGAGAATTGATTTTAAAAAGCATATGGATGATGCCAGGGAGCTAAAACATATTGATTAGGTTCAGATAGTGGTTTAGAGATTGCTTCAATTCTGAAAAGTTTTCATCAAATTTCTATTTTGAATTAGCAGCCCAGACTTCATTTTTACTAGTGCTTTTAAACCACATTGATTTCATGCCCCAGACTAGTCAATGTAAGGCTTACTGTCATAATGCCCATCATTTTGAGCAAGGGAATTTGATGTTGTACAACCAATTGGAGAAGTTAAATAGACAAGTTAATGTGTTAAATACAGGCTTGAAAGTTGATTCTGCATGATCTCACAAAGGGCCATGATATATACCTCTCATACTCATCCTTATTTAAGGTTTTCACTTTTTTAGAATCCAAGTGTATCAGTTTTCCAAAATACAATATTACTAAGTACCAGTTATCAAGTATGTACTGTATCGTACTTTTTATTATATAAAGATTTATAAACTTTTAACCAAGGGTGATATTACAAATACTTAATAAGCTTTATGGTACAAGCATTAACCTCCACTAAAACTAGCTTCCCTAATGTTGAGTAAAAAGATATTTGAAAGAATTCTTTATTTTTAAAAATCTTGTCTCCTAAAGCTTTTAAGGGAACATTAGAAACATTTTAGATTGCTTGTGAAATACAAGGCAATTTAAAGTGTCTTACGAAGGATCCAAGCACCTGCTCAGACCCAAGGATGATGTAAGAACAGCAGAAACAAAACTCACCATGTGAGCTACACTCTCCAAGGAGAAAAAATGTATTTCTCTGTCTTCATATGGACTGAAAATAATAGTAAGAGAGGGCCTCTTACAGCAGTTCAATTTTCCTAATGTTCATTAAAAGTGACTGACTTACCAGTTTTGAAAATTGACACACTCGGATGAAATCAGTTCTTTTTCATGTTTTCCCTTCTACTTAGGAAAAATAACATCATATAAAATGTATTTTTTGCTCTAACACAGACTCATAAGTTCTTTCTTCTGGTGGCCATAATCTAAGATAATTTAAGGGCTATTTTTTTCTAAGTGATATTTAGCTGTAACCATAAAAATCTACATTGTGTCCCAGGCATTAATTAATAAGCTGGCTCTGGTTGTCATAAGGATTGGATTGACAAGACCTTTTGAGGTCATCCGTTTTGGCTTTGAAATGTCACCACACAGTTATTACTTTGTGTCTTGACAGAATTGATTTTATATAAAGTGAAGTTAGTGGTGGGGATTGTTTTCTTTTCAGGAAGCATATGTAATTTCAAACACAGAAAATTTTAGTAGTGGTTCACAAAGAAACCTGGGTCTTTTAAGAAAATTGCAATTCTTACATTTTTATTTATTGTTTTATAGCTCACAGAGCTAATATTGCCTTTAGTTTTTCCTACAAAAAAATGTTACTAGTGTATCTGCAGGATGCACTTTAAAAACTAATACTAGCTACTTCTCCAGATAGCTACACATTATATAAGTAATGTAAATTTTCTTTAGAAAAAAAGATTAATATTTGTTTAAAATGTATATCAGAGTTGGGTTACAAATCAGGTAAACATTATTTTTGCTGACACTTATTTCATTTTCTTGCTGAGAGTCCCTTGCAATTTTCTCTAAATTTCTGTCAGCTCCTATATTTTGCTCAAATGGTGTGGCCTGGACCAATACCTTTTTCCCTATTATTTTAAAATAAATAATGCACTCAAATTTAGGATCAACATAGTTTCAAAAAATGTAAATGAGGAAAAGATTGAGGTAAAGATGTTTTTAGAAATGTTGGGAAATCCTGAAAGATCAAACACTGACCCATTGTTTTGGGGATAACTTTTCATTTTGCTGTTTTGTTTTGTTTTTTAAAAATTTCACCAAATGTAAGGTGACTTGTCAAGACTAATTTAAACATACTGGTATATACAGGATCCGAAACAAGTAACACCCCTTTCTTTTATAACAAAATCATAAGTATGTAATTCTATAACATAACAATATCTCACTCAAGCACACCACATAACATTGTAAATGAAATGTTCAAATTAAAAGTATAAATTATTACACCTGTATTATTACCTACCAACAACATTCAAGCAGGCATTACTTCTGCTGGACTCTGTATATACATTTTTATATATATGCTAGATTATAGTATATTGACACCAATTTGAAAATATATGTGTGTGTGTGTGTGTGTGTGTGTGTGTGTGTGTGTATAGTTGAGAAAAAGTATTGATGTTACCTGGCAGCCAAGGAGAGTGGACTGGAATGCACTAGCATGAACAATGATGACTTGACTGTACTAGTGAGTGGAGGCAGTAGTTGCCGTTGAGTGAGCATGCGTACTGTGTGGCCATCACATTCAAAATGACTGAGCTAGTAGAGCAACAAATCTGCATCAAATTTTGCATTAAAATTGAACATTACTCTGTGAACTCTTTGGATGATTCAGAAGGCTTTCAGGGTCGATGCAAGTGCAGCGCAAATAAAAGTGTGGCACAAACACTTCAAAGGCAATCAAGAATCTGTTGAAAGTGATCCATGTTCTGGAAAGCCTGCAACAAGTAAAACACCTGAGGATGCTGAACATGTATGGGCTGCAATCAACAAAGATTCGCAACTTACAGTGTGAGAAGTAGAAGCTGATCTGGGAATTCCAAAAACTACTATGTCCAAGATTTTGACTCAGGATCTTGGCATAAAACGGGTTGTGGCAAAATTCATTCTGCAGCTTCTGCTACCAAAGGAGAAGGAACATCATGCTGAAATTGCTAATGACTTGATTCAAACCTCTACCAGTGAACCAGATTTCCTGAAGAAGTTCATAACTGGAGATAAATTGTGGGAGAACTGTGTGAAGTTTCAAAGTGTCTACTTTGAAGGGAACTGAGGTGTCATTATCCTATGTACAATGTTTCTTGTATCTTTTTCAATAAATGTCTATTTTTCATATTACATGGCTGGATACTTTCTGGGCAAAATTAGACTATATCATATTGACTTTATCTTAGTAGGATTATTTCTATCTGCTTGAATAGAATGCATGTGTTCGTTCTCCATCACTTGGGTGACAAATATGTTTGAGTCCTCCCTAGACGTCAGGCTCTGCTCTGGATCTGAGGGATCCAGTAAAGCAGTAAGCAGATGTGGCTCTTGCTGCCGAGTTTGCACAGACTGGTGCTGCAGGAGGCTGACCTTACACCACGGTCGGGCATCCTCCTGTGTCGGTCACGCCGGTGGGGACCAGCCTTTGAGGTTTCTCCTTCCTTGTAAAAGTGAGAACTCGGGCTTTCACTGTGCCTCTCGTGTGAGCTCCCATATGTCCGAGGAAGACTGTGAAGGCCAGAGGAAGCCAGAGGAGCTTGAATCCTTGGCTGCCCTTCCTTATCATAGAATTACCTCCAAACTCTAGTGCTCACACTAACGCATGTTTAAGTTACATTGTGTGTTTGCATTGCATATGCATATAGAGAGAGAGAGGCCTTGGAGATGGATGTAACTTTTCATCTTTCTCTGAAACAAAAATCACAGAAATGGTTATTTTCTCTGAGTTAGGCTGCATTCATAATAGCAACTAATCACATTTTCAGTGCCCCTGGACCAAGCAAATGACACTGTTTCTTTTTCTCTCATGGTGCCCATGATAAAAGCAGGGTGTATAATTTTGGGTTAGCCAAAAAGTTCATACGG